GTGATACATTTACAGTCAATATAAAGGAAGAAGAAGAATTAACAAAACAGGGAGAAGCTGTTGTCAAGGTGATTTTTTTTTATTTAGTCTAATTAGTCACTGTGAAAATGTAAACTATAAATTTTAAAGAAGGAACAACACATGACAGATAATAAAAATAAAGTTCTGATGGGAAAAACATGGGTGAAAGTTTACCTTTCTTGGTTTAAAAAACAATCTAATAATTTTATGCATACATTTACAGACAAGACCGGAGCTTATTTGGATTACATTAAATGTTATTTGGATTATTTTAATTGCAAACCAATTGTGAAAACACTGTGCTGCGTCAACTTTGTTGAACTATTATAAACAGTTTGGCTGAATAACTTTGTTCCAAAAATCTTTTTGATTTAGCTGCTGAAAACAAACAAACAAAACTAAATCCAGATTGGACGTGAAAGACGGATGCAGCTAATTGCACTATTTGTTTGGTTTTCAATCACTGTTTGGTTTGCACTAATGATTTAAAGCCTCAAAACGTGTCATTTGGTCGTTTACGTGTTGGTTTATGCATCCACAAGTTATGCTGCTGCAGAATTTAGCTGTTCCCCAAAGCTGTCACTCCTAATTATTAGGAACTGCAAACCTCGAAAGCCTCAGTCTAGCCCCTAAATGTTTACTTGTGGGTAAAAAGTTAATCTTAGCAAACTAAAATGGCCACATTTCAGCCATTTATACAAATACTGCGCTGTAATTTGGTGTGGTAGTAGCTTAGAGTCATTCCCAACATACACTGTGAGCTCTAATGGAAGCAGCATAAGCTTTGTTTACACTTTGTCATGCAAGGCGACATGCGTTCCTTTAAGGAACGCTGCTTTCATGTGTTGAGAAAGGTTTTGGATTTTTATTTGTTTTCTGGATTATTTGATAATTTGCTCTGTACAAGTGTTCAGCCTTGTTCCCACCTTATTGACGTATTCTCCAGAAATCAAACAAACAACTTCATTAGTAACTCTGCTTATAAATGGCACATTATGAAGCCGTGTCAGATGTTTCATAAGAGCTCCGCGGCTCTTGCGTCAGTGAGTCAGCAGTGAAAAGTTCAAGTGAGCAGGTGGCTGAAGCAGCAGTCACTGATTTATGGAGGAGAAAAGCTTTCACAGGGAGCTGCCTGACGAAAAGCAGCATCTATTCGACAACAAGGTGGATCAGCTCGTTTGCAGATGAGCAGCACTTTTATTTTTACAGATTTTTCTGATATATTTGTTTACAAAAATGGGATTATTTGTCAGGGATTTTAAGCCGTGGTACAAGTTTGCATCATCTGATTTTGTTTAGTGCTTCCAGTTCAGATAATGGCCACTAGATTTTTCTTCTTCTTCTTCTTTTTTAATGAAAAGAGAAAATATTGGTGCTTTAAAAAGATCTTGCACAAAAAAAGTTTGCAATCTTTCTTAAAGTTTCATCTTTTTTATCCTGTCAGCTAAAAAAGCTTTCATCTTTTTTTTTTGTGCCTGAAGATGACAAACGTTTCCTCCAGCTGTACAGATGTGTTACATCTGTCTGAAAATGTTGCCTAACACATGTTGACCCAACACGGGAACTGGAGCGGTTTAACTTTATACTTTAAGTGTGTTTCCTCAGAATCAGATCTAAACTATCAGAGGCAGCAGTTTTGCAGAAACCAGCAAAAGACCCCCAGCTACTAATCTTAATCTCAAATCTCTGGAAATAAAATACTTTCTGCTTTTGCCAGGGGGAAGATGAGCAGCTCAATTTACCACTGCCAGCAGCGCAGCTTAACACGGTATCTCTCTTTTATGACAAAGCGTAGATCTATTTCTGTGCCCGATGCAGTGCAGCACCCTCATGGCTGCTGAGAACACTTTAGGATGTGCTCAGATTAAGCTAAGGTTACACAACATTTATTCTTCGATGTTCACTTTACTGGAACATTTATATGACTTTAAAGGCAACCGTGGATCAGCGTGGAAAGAATAAATGCAAAAAAAGAACTATTTTTTATTTATTTATTGTTATTAAGTGTTATTTGGTTTATGTACGGCGGTACGGCGGTGGAGGAAGACCAGCTGCTGGCTTTTTCTTTCCGTTTCTCAATTTTTATTTTATTTTATGGGGTTTTTACTTGTGCATCTCCCTGAAAAACATGGTTCATTAATAATTTTGCAATTACTAAAGAGAAGTCTATTTTTTCCTTCTTTCGGCTGCTCCTTTTCTCACAGGTCACCCCAGCAAACTCTCACACCAACACTTGGCAATTGATTTTATGCCGGATGCCCTTCCTGACGTAACAGACCATTGAGCTACCACAGCCCTCTGTGTGGAGCAGAGAGCTACTATCTAGGATGCTCTGGCGAACAGATGGTGGGGGTTAAGGGCCTTGCTCAAGGGCCCAGAGTGGGTTAAATGGGGGTAGAGACGGGTGTTTCACCTTTCCCACCCACATTTTTGATGTTGTCGGTTCAGGGAGTTGAACCGGCGACCTTCCAATCACAGGCCCACCTTCTCTAACCTCTGCACCACCACTCCCACTAAAGAGAAGCAATTAAACAGTATTAAAAAAAAGTCACAAAACTTAAAAATAAAACCCATTTAAACATTTAAAGATCAGTGTTTTCCATGAAGTCTGAGCTGCAGCTCGTTTGATTTGCTCACCTCTCATGAAACACAGGCAATCACTGAAATCGCCTTTTGAGTATAGTTTAAAACATATAAATCAATATAAGCATTTTGTTTGATGATTTAAAAAATCTTAATAAAGAAGCTAGTCGTGGATAAAACTTGTAATGACTTCTAAATAACTATGTGCCCCACGTCAGACGACAAGACAATAAATAACTTTGTAAGAAGTTTTTTTTTTTTTTTATCTCCACTAAACATCAACCATATCCAGTAACAACAGTTTTATGCTTCGTCACTTTGCTTCACGAGTCTTCTTGGTCATGAAACCAAAGTCAATCATTTCAGAGCTCGATTATAAATATGTGCTGCAACAGGAGCACAAACTTCAGCAATGCAACATTTGGGTTTTCTGGTGAGTGATGTGAAAATAACCCTCATGGATTTCGCTATTTTGCTTCCAAGCAGCCTGTCTTGTAATCTATCAAAGTGATCAGTGGTTCCTCTCACTTTCTAAAGATCTCTTAAAGTTTGGGCTTTGGCAAGTGGAGGACAAAAAAAGTGCCACACTAAAAATAAGAATTATGGCAAATGGACATGAATGTATGAATAGAAATGAAAGTTGTGTCTTTAAGAAAAAAAATCCTGCCAAGATCCGACAGAACTGAGAAACACATCCTTCCAAGGCTGTTTTTAGTTGATACCTCTGTAGGAATCACCTTATATTGCTAAATTTAAAAAAAAAAATTATTTCATGTGACAAACTGAGTTCTTTTCAGTGATTTGCAAAGATTCAACCAATGAATGGGAACAAATGTTATATTTTGGACTGTAACAACTTGCATAAAACAAGTATAAAAAGCCCATTTTCGATTCATCTCTTTTTTCCTTTAATAATTCCTGGGTCATAAAAAACAAGCTTGAGAAAGAAACGTTTTTCCTGTGGAGATGGTCAGGTATTACCGTAATATCACAGGCATCAGATTTGGAAAAGTCTGCGATGGTTCAGTGTGCAATGGATGTCTGGAGAGATGATGTGACGGTTGTTCTGAGTGACATGCAATCAGAAATCGAAACAGACCTGCTGCCACAGATCTTGAATGATTATGTTTTACTTCTGTTATTTCAGAGATGAGAAGGTAAGTTCTTCTTCTCCTCCTCTGGCTGAATTTTCTCCAAAGCGACCTGCCATCGCAGGGCAGTTGCAAACTCCAGGTGGCTTTTGGATGAACCTAAAGAGAAGCTCAACATCTTTATTTCTGCCACTTCCAGTTCTTTCTCCTGTATTTTTGTCAATGCCACTGTCTCCAGACCAGACAACACAACTGGCCTCACCACTGTCCTGTAAACTTTTCCTTTGACGTGCGCAGAGAATGTGCGTGATTGTGCAGGCGTGCAGCTTCGAGGGAACAATGGGTGTAGCCTCAGTAAATGTCTGGGACCAGTTGATGGGCAGGGCCGTAAAGTGGAGGAGCCAGTGGCCCCCTGGCCCCCCCTGCTCCAGCGCCACTGTAGTGGACCTGAAACAGACTAGTTTATTCCTTAAGTGTTTATTTGCAAACATTTGATTTATATTTTTTTATGGTTTTGCAATTCTTTTCACATAATTAAGACAAAAGTTGGGTTTTAAAATGTAAACAGCTGATTGAGATATAAATAAATACATAAATAAAATTAAGATTCTCCTTAGAATCTAGCTGTTTTTTGTTAATTTTCTTTTTTTTTTTTTAGCCATCCTATTTGTAAAAAAAAAAAAAAATTTGTATGACTTTTTATAACTGTTTATTGTTGTCGCTGTTGTCCATTGTTGTCATCATTCTTTGTTGAAATCAGGTCTCTCTCGTAAACGAGTCCTCGAGGCTCAATGGGATTTACCTGTCTAAATAAAGGTTGAATGAATGAAAGAAAGATAGAAAATGACACTTGAAATAAAATAACTGCCTTTTTGTGGCTTTTGCTCATGAGATCAGCCAGAACTGAGTCTGCACAGTTTGTATGTAGAATGTTTATTCTTAATTTTGCCACATGCAGCTCAGAATCAACCCGTCAAACTAAAGGCTTGATGTTCACAAATCAAAATATGTGAAATGTTTTGCTTTGATGGAACAAGCTGAACTGTTGCGCTCACTGCGGGGCTGGAGGCCATCAGTGAACTCCCCTCAACTTGCGCACTCAGGCGGCCCCTGCACATGTGTGCGCCTCTGATAACACAATCTACACGCTCTGAGCTGAGAGTCCTGCAGGAAGGCGAGACGCTGGAGGTTGAGCGTCTGCATCTCCAACAACAACAAGCGCGCAGTCAGCTCTGCAAGTAAACACTCAGCCACACCCAGAACATTTGGGTGGTTTAAAGGGTCGTCCAATGAGTGACGGGGGAGAGGAGCTGCAGCTGACAGCAGGACAAGAGGCTGACAGCAGCCGTCTTCCTCTCAGGACGCCATGGACAGTTATTCCTACACCTGCAATGATGAGCCCAAGGTGAAGAAAGACTTCAACAAAAAGTGAGTCCTGTTCTAAAGTCGTATTTGATGCAAGGCTGAAATTTTCTCAATCAAACAGAAGTTGGTGTTTTTTTTTATTTTTTACTTAAGACGTTTAATTCATTCATTCGTATGAATTTGTATAATGGATGCAGACACAGATAATGGGTGGCACGGTGGCGCAGTTGTTAGAGCTGCTGCCACTCAGCGAGAAGGCTTTAACCTCAGCTGGGAGGCCTTTCTGGGTGGAGTTTGCATGTTCTCTTCGTGCATGCGTGTTTTTTTTTGTTTTTTTTTTGTGTGTGTGTGTGGGGGGGGGGTACTCCAGTTTACTCCCACAGGCTCAAAACATGCATGTTAGGCTGGTAACTCTAAATTGTCCCTAGGTGTGAGTGGGAGGGTGAATGGTTGTCTTGTTTGTCTCTGTGTGTCCCTGTGATGGACTTGCATCCTGTTGGGGTTGTACCCCGCCTCGTGCACTGTCACCGCTGGACATGAGCACCAGTGACCCAAAAAGGAAGAAGCAGGTAAAAGATAATGGATAACGGGTGTCCTTCAGCAACAGAATGCTTTGTGACTGAATCAGCAGAAACTTCCACTGCCACTCAATAAAATCTTCTCCAGATACTCCTCCTGTCTGTTTAAATCTGCCCCAGTGATCCCAGGAGAAATTCCCAGACCTACAGGTGGTTTATTAACAGCCACTTTATGGAGCATGTTGTGGACTGAGACTGGGCCCTTCAGGACCTGGGGGGCTGCAGACGGGCCAACTCTTCTCTGTCGGAGGCCGTCTGAGTTTTAAAGGAGACCATCTGCAGCCGCTGTGCAGCATCTGATGATCTGCAGGCATTTTAAACCGTGGTGTCAAACTGATAACACCACCAGCCTCCGCCCATGCATGCATACACCCTCAATGAAGAGAAGCGAGAGCTAAAACCTGAATTCTGTGAATGGAAAACAAACAATCACATCCCCATTTAATGAGTAATTACGTGAATTACTTCTATGTTGATCAGAGACTCACAGGATCGCAGGGATGCACGATATTGGATTTGTGGCCGATATTCGATATGCCGATATGTTAAAACTTATTGGCTGATAAGCGATACTAATACCAATATTTTTTCCCCTAGAGAGACTACATAGCTTTCTCTGCTTTGGAATTAAAATACTACTTTATTCTACATGGTTTGTCAATTTGGCCTGCTACCAAATGCAGATGCCAAAAAAGGGGGGTGAAAATGATGTAACACTTCAACTTGGATTATGTGTAATGTCAAATTTACTCATGACGTTTACTCTCTAACACAGCGACAACACTCGAACGTGCAAATTTGTAAGTTTTCACAAATCTAATCTCAGTGGGGTGCATGATGTCATAACGCACTGAAACAGCACCTTTTATAACTGTGAGTTATTTTGATGGAATGTCCGATATTTAACTTTATCGCTAATCTCGACCGATAACGATACCGATAATATTGTGCATCCCTACAGGATAGTAAACATGTCTGAATGTTTAGGAGTAAATGTGATATGATCATGTTTTGTTTGCTCACAGGGTGTTTGTGAACAGAAGCCTGACGCTTGAAAGCATCAAATGCTATGGCTTTGACATGGACTACACGCTGGCAAGTGAGTAAAGCTTGAACACTGAGTTCCTCCTTCTCATGACAGAAAGTAGAAACACCAAATATGTTTTTCTTCGTAGTGTACAAGTCTCCTGACTATGAGAGCATGGGCTTCGAGCTGATAAGAGACAGAATGGTGTCTGTTGGATACCCTCATGAGATTCTCCGCTACACGTATGACCCCAGCTTTCCCACCCGGTCAGTTTGAAACAACCCCGGAACGTCATTTTTAGATCCATCCACCATCTTTGCATTCCTTTGATTTCATTCATGTTTTTCCACTTCTTTGTGTTTTTCCTCCCAGTGGAATAGTTGTGGACACCAAGTATGGGAACCTCCTGAAGGTGGATTCTAACGGCAACATCTTAGTTTGCACTCACGGTTTCCACTTCCTCAAAGAGTAAATGCAAAATACAAATCAGTGCAGGAAATAGAATGTTTTGTTGTTTTTCTAGAACTTCCAAGATGTAAAAGTTCAAATATGTTGTCTGGTGTCTATTACACAACACTCACTAAACAATCAACACATCAAACAACTTAATGATTTATTAATCATTTATCAATTACACTGAAATTATCTGAACAAAAAGTTGGAATAAATATTTGAAATACAGTCAAGTTGGAAGAATTTAAAGATTCTTATTTAGAGACAAACAAAATGAACAAAGAAATATTTTTATTGTAAATAAAACAATAAATCACACAACAAATCAACGTTCTTCAAGCAACTAACCAACAACTAACCAGCTAACAATTACCCAGTGAGTCACTAAACCAGTTAATTAACCAAACAGACATTCCACCAACAGACCATCCTTCATCCATCCATCCATCCATCCATCCATCCATCCATCCATCCATCCATCCATCCATCTATCATCCATCCAACATCCTTCCATCATCCATCCATCCATCTATCATCCATCCATCCATGCATCCATCCATCCATCCATCCATCCATCCATCCATCCATGCATCCATCCATCCATCCATCCAT